AAGTATGTAAATGTCAAAACATAAGGAATAAAGCAATTAAGCTAAGCTGAAAAGGACAAAAAAAAAGTGAAAGCTATGATCTATCGAGTGATACTTATAAACAATGCAAATGTTAAAAAAAATGTAATGGAATCATCTTATTAAAACCCTAATATTTATAATATTGAATTAGAGAGAAAGTAATAATAGAATTCAATGATAATAATTAATGAGTTTTGATGAAAAGGGAAAATATATTTTGAATTATTCAATATTCAATTTTAAAAAAATTAAGAATTAAATAAGTTTCCTTCTATATAATTCAATTTTAAAATTTGCATTTTTCATTGAAGATGATTAAAGAAAATGTTTATATACTAGATGTGTTAGCAAAATTGGTTTTTAAATTGAAATTTTAAAAACATCTAGATGGCAATGTAAATTATTTTTAAAAGGTTAATTAAAGAGAAAATTAATTAGTCGGTTTTCAATTAATGGTTTTTATTTTTGGAACATATTATGGAAACATATCATCTAATAGTTGGTTGATCTTTTCTCATCAAATAATTGATTTTTTTATAAAATTATTGAGCTGATTTAAAATAATTAAAATTTTAAATTAACGTCTACTTTGACTATTTCTTTTTTAGTGCAATAATCTTATTTAATGTTGGAAAGTCTATGTTTAACATTTTGAAAAATTCTTAGTAAATAGTAAATTATGCCTGCAAATACGTGTGGTTGCAAATAAAAAGAAATATATATATATATATATATTTATAAACCTGTTTGCAATTAATTAGGCTTTTTGTTTTATATTTGAATTTTTAGCATTATATATTCTATATTCGATTAGATTAATAAATGCATAAATTATTTCTTAATTAAATACTAAAATTACAGTTATTAAATAGTCAATACTTTCAAATTATATTTTTTATTTATAGTGATCATATTTAATTCTTAAAATTAAGAATTGAAATTTTTGAAAATGATTTAAGATAATTGATTTGTAATATATATTTGAAAAAGGTAATAATATTTTATTTTTATAAGATAATAAATATACTTAATTTAGTCAAAATAAATCTTCTAAATAAATAAAATTTATATGAAATTAAATCAAAATAATTAAATGCAGTAGACAAAGAATTTTTAAAATTATCCACATGTCAATAATATAGGCTATCCACATTGGATAATTTTTATTTTTACCAAAGACTTTGACTTTTATATATTTATGTAAGATTATATAAGATATAAGATTGATAATTTGCACAAAGCAATTTGCTAAAATCATAAAGCATGTAAAACTTTAAATCTAATTAACCATTGCCTGAAGTTCAGCTCATGCGCATAATATTGCATCATTACTTGAGTAGGACATTGCTAGAGCCCTGAAGTTGCAATTCTGGCTAAGGTTATTAATTCTTTTAATGCATTAATTTTACTAAAAATTAAATAAATAATAAAAAATTACCTTATAATGAAAATAAATATCCAAATAAATAATCTAAAAATCACCTATAAATACTAATAATAAACTAATCAATCATTCCAAGTCGTAATGGTATTGACAATATATAAATAAAAATTGAAAGAAAAATTAATAACTCCTAATCATGTAGAAACAAAACATATAAAATAATTAAATAAATAGAATTAGCAAAAAAAAAAAAAAGCCGACAGGATATTCATTAAAACAAATTAACACATGATCATTTAAATTATAATTGTAAATAAATAACAAATTTGAAAATTAAAACTACAAATATAAAATATATTAAGACAATAATAGATACAAAACTAACTCTAGCAAAGAGAAAATAACAATTTCAAACACAAAAAAAATATTAATATTAAAAATAAAAGAATCTAAAAAATAAATAACTATACAACATAAAATATCAACATTCTTTACCAACTAACATATAATTGCAAAAGAAAAGTGCTTCAAAAGTAATAGATATATAGGTTATTATTCAATTAAGATTGTAGAGTTTACCATGAATTTATATAACGATGAATTCTTATCTTGTTATCAAATCAACAAAAGAATAACAAGCAATTTCAAAATTAGCTAAATAGCTAGCGATAAAGGCATTGAATAGAGACAGTAAGGATGATATCTCATATATTGTAGTTTGTTTTAAGGGGTAAAGGAAACTGAAAGCAATGGAAGAACAGTCCCTTGATTATATAAGATTCGAATCAATGGGCAAACACCATCTATCTAGGAAAAATGGCAATCAAAAACCAAAGAAAATGATTTCTAATCTTATAAATTTGACGTTTATTTGAACTATAATTTGTTATCTCTTGTTCTAACCTTGTTTTGCCATCTGCCATCAAAGAAACAACAAAACATGAAAAGCCTAAGCAAACTTGCAATATAACTCATTTCAAGAATTTACAAACGTGCAATTGGATCAAAATAAAAATACATAATTAAAGCTATAATAATAAAGTCAAAATCTAACATGATAAATCATAAAATAAATTTATATATGAAAATAGAAAAAATACAAAAAATGAAAAAATTAATAAAAATTCTTACTTTTTTTAGCTTTCTTACTACTAACCACTCGAAAACCGCCTCTCTCTTCTTTCCCGATGACTCCTAGCTTTCTCTCTCTTTTATTTCTTCAATTTTTCTGTTTTGCTTCCCTTTTTCTTTTCAAATATCTCTCAAATTTTCCTCTATTTTTCTCTCATTCTCTTTCTTCTTCCAACCTTCCTTTCCTCCTCCACCTTCCCATCTCCTTTCTCTCCCATTTCTTCTTTTTCATTTCTCTTTCTCTTGAATCTTTTTTAATCTCTTAAGATTTTTTTTTTACTTCACAATAAAAATCCAACAACATCTTCGACAAAATGAAAATTTTCTTCTATGTCCTCACATGGACAACTGTTGCACAGCAAAAGACAAAAAGTATATGGTAGTTAGGTATATACTATAAAAAGGAAAACTACAAAACAAATATTCAAATTCTATCATAGTTTTAGAATTGTATAGTTTATATAAGATATATTTACTTTCTAAAATTTAAAATTTTTATAATTCACTTGATACACTTTTAGTTCTAATTAAAAGTTTTTGATTTATTATATTTAAAAATTCACTTTTAGAGAATTATATATATATAAATTAACCAAATAAAAATGACATGAACCATCAAAGAAAATCAAAGTAGCAAGAAGAAATTCTACAAGCAAAAAAAAAAAACTACAATAATGAAAAAATAAAAAATACAATACAAAAAACCCAAAAATGAAATCTAAAAAACCAAAAAAAAAAAAGAAGAAAGAAACGAAAAAACCTGATGAATATCAAAGCAAGAAAGCTTCGTAAAGCCCCTGCAAAACCTTAGCAAATAGCAAACAAAAAAAAAAAAATCAGATTCAACTAAACCACTATAAATCAAAAAGGATATTATGCTAGAGCATTAGAACAGAAATTACAATATATATAATTTATAGTTAATAACCTTTAATTTTTAAAAAAAATTCATAAAATACACAATTTTACAGACCCAAATAGAATCTAATTGCTAAAATTTTAAAGCAAAAACGTTGATGATAACTTGTTCAAAGTTCAAAATTCAAATAAAAGCAATCCCAAATTTCACATATATATATATATAAACTTAAAAAATAATTATTTTCTCCATTTTCAGAAGAAACATGAAAATTATCACTTCAATAGTCATAATTATATTAACATCACCATCCATTCAAAACCCAAAATTAAAAATTAAAAACCCACTAAAATTCAATCTAGAAAATGAAAAATCCATTAAAATTCAATGTAAGTTTCAATAATCCTCTATATGGGGTGCAGTAATCATCAACAAATTCAATCCCAAAAATCAATAAATTAACTGGTAATCAACGAACTTCTATAGTCCTACCCAAAGAAACAAGAAAAGACCATAAAAAATTTCACAATTCAAAAGTAAGAAGTAGAAGATCATGAAAGAGAAGAAAGAAAAAAATGAAAGAAATATAAGTTGAAAGAAACAGGGAACAGGAGATGAAAAACTAGGAAATTTGAGAAAAGAAGATAAGATTTAGTAAATTTTATTTCATGATACATTTTTAATTTTTTTTAAGTTCCTTTTTCTTGTTTTATTCGTCTTCTCTCTATTTCTTTTAAATCTCCTTTCAATCAATTTATTTAATATTTAAATTATCATATTTATTCCAATTGACACAATTAATCTTCCAATCAATATAAATAACATATCTTACTTTTATAAAAATTGAGCTTCAATCAAATTGGGGATAATTTTAATATTAAGGTATTGATTATATGTTCCTATATCTTATCAATTTTAATCCTAATAATTGTCACATTTTGCTCAAAAACTTATTAAAAAAATTTTCAACGAAAAAAGTTCAAGAGATTGATTTTAAGATGGCAAAAACTTCAATTTATGTCTTCCGCTTCTTAATCTAATGACATAAAAAGTTTAAAAAAGTCATTAGAGCTTAAATTCAAATTAATTCACTCCTTCTTCTTTTTTAAGTAATAAGACAGTGTCTTCCTTTGAGCAAAAAAAAAAATTAATTTATTGAATCAAAGACATGATTAATTTTTATTAAAAAATTATTTGAACTTAATAAATTATAATTTTTCTTTAAATTTGATAATAATTACATAAACATATTGAATATATAATTAATTTATTTTACTATTTTAAAACATAAAACATCTAAATAAGAATTAAATATATAAATTCTGAAATGTTGGTAAACTTAAAAAATTTATATTATTTTATTTTAATAAAACATATTATATATAAACATATACATATATTTGATAAAAAAAATCGAAAATAAATAAATTATTTAATTTTTAAATCAAAATAAAATATATCATATTTAATAATTTAAATAAATAATTATAAATCATATATTTAAAATGAACTAAATAAATAACCAACAACAAAACTTAAACCTAAAATCTCTTTTATAAAAAAAACGACATTAACTAATTCAAGCAGTAACTATTCGTTCGTAAATATACTTCCCGCTGGCTTAAAAGAAAACGGCTGATGCGACATGCTGCAAACTTTTTTGGTGACACTCTATCCAAAAGGCGTGGCAACACATTGGTTCATCCACTTAAGAATCTTAGGTCAACGAACAATTGTTGACCAAACCATAACTGCGCAGATCGCAGAGTGCATCTTGAGCATAATCCCCAAATAGTAGACCAACCGTATAGTCTCCGTATCAAAGCTGCATACAACAAATCCCTCCGCCACTCTCTTTACCAAATTTCAATCCTGCGATATTCCGATTTCAAGGGTCGCTCTAATGAACGTCCATGTCCTCCAAATCGTTTAAGAAGAAGCCTAGCAGAAAGCGATCCAGCTCCAAGTTCGCCTCCTCGATGGCCTCTTTTAAGTACTTATACCTCAGAAAATTCTTCATTTTAGTATCAATTATTTTGCTTGCTTGTGTAATTCTTGTTTTTGGAGTTTCGTCAAACACTTGGAATGAGATATCTTCCGATAGTAACTCCCTTAAGTTTGACGGCTACGAAATAGTCAATGAATTCCCCCACGATCCCAGGGCTTTCACTCAGGTAAATCCCCAAAGCAGTGGATCGATGAAAGTTTAATATTCATTTCTGGAGTGATTGTTTTCCTTATTTCGCTTTTGCCCATTTTTTAAATTGATGGTGTTTGCTTTTTTCAGGGCCTTGTTTATGCAGGAAATGATACCTTATTTGAGTCAACTGGTCTTTACCGGCAGGTTAGTTTTTTGCTATCTCATTGTATATAAGCATCTTCATTATTGCTCCGGCTGGAATTATCGATTTGCAGTTCCGAAATTAGGTTGCATTGTCTTGCCTGCTGTCTTTAGTTCTGTTTAGGGTTGAATTTGAATGATATGTATGCATTACTTAACCTCCTAATTCATCTCACTGTTTCAGTCATCAGTTCGGAAAGTTGCCCTTCGGACCGGAAAGGTACAGGTCCTATCCTTGTCTTTCCATTTTCATACAAGTTTGTTGGTACTCGGTTGGCATCCATTTGCATAATGAAATCAACAAATATTAGTATTTTTTAGAAGTAAAATTTGTGTACAATAAGATTTATGGAGAAATTCAACAAAAACGGAGTTAAATTTACTTGAAAGCTAGCTAGTAGGAATGCAGTATGTTACCAATGGGATCGGTAGATAATATGTCATATTCTGTTAGCAGTTTTATTTAATCCAAGTGAATCAGTTGATAAGTCCTTGGTTGTAAACAGAAACAAACCATATTTTCTAATTCCAAGTTTATTTGTTGAGTGTTTTTTTATATATACAGGTTGAGATTCTTCACAAGATGGCTGATTCATATTTTGGAGAGGGTTTAACCCTTCTTGGTGAAAGGTTTGTTGGAAGGAATTCAGTTGTAACACTTTGGTCTCATGTTTATTCAAAACAATGAGCTCCTTTCTTCTTTTTCTTCCTCTTCTTCCTGCCATGTTTTCTCCCTTTTTCATTTCCACCAAGTCGAAGGGCCCTATTTGTTACTCACATCCTTCTGCCTCCAAATTGATTTTCTGAACTTTACAGTACTTAAAAATTTTTTCAGTTCTTAAAAATTAATTTTCAGTTAGTGGAAATTCTATTCATATTTGGTAGATTGCTGTGCATTTATATGCATTCAATTGATATTTGTGTTCTTCATCTACTTTGGTTTTCTGCTTTATCATTTGGATGCCATTTGTTAATATGGTTCTGGATTTGTGGATTTTACAAAGTATGACTTTTTGCATGCTCTTAAGATTTAATGTAGTAGTTCTTATGTTTTTTGTAGGCTGCTCCAGGTAACTTGGTTGACCCAAATTGGTTTCATATATGACAGAAAAAATTTGCAGAAAGTTTGTGCTTCCAGTCTCTATATCATTTTACTCTTTTTTTTGGTTGTTTAATTTGTATTATCATTCTAAATAAACATTTATTGAGCATCTGAGCATGCATGGTCGAGTGTTATATAAACTTATAATGCATTTCCATTATTCTATTTCTGTAAAAATTTCATTGTTGGGAGGTTAGTCAGCTCAATGCTGTACTGTATAGAGTTCTTAACCTATTTGATTTATGCTGTCATGAATTTTTAATATAAGTCCTAATCAATATCAGCTTTCATTGATTTAATCAGGGTCACTGGCTTCCCAATTCACCTTTTGTTCTTGCTTGTATGATGCATTTCCATGAAACAATTTTGCTTCTTGTTTTTTCTTTTCCCATTTTCTGCGTGTGAACACTGATTTTTGGTTTACAACATGGCAAAAATCATCACTATGTCTGTATCTCGTTATAAAATGTTTACAGCTTTCTTTTCCATCTAATTGTCCAATTATATATTACTTTATTTTTCTTTTGAACTAAAGTGCATTCAGTGCTTGTATAGTTTTATTTCTGCGTATAAAATGGTTTTACTTTGTCATATTCATTGCAGTTAGAGCGATTTACACATCAGATGGAAGATGGTTGGGGACTGGCAACTGATGGCAAAATCTTATATGGAAGTGATGGGACCTCAACACTGTATCAGATAGACCCTCAAACATTAAAAGGTTCCCCTTGCACACACGTTTACTGTTGATCATATATTCCCACTTCATTTAGGGTTTTCAACTTTGTTATTGTTCCTAACTTTCTTCACGGTGCACTTCACCGTGTAGATGAGTGTTGTTTAGTAAATATTGATACACTCCCTTTTTTACCATCTTTTTCTAACTGTACTCTCTTTTACAATATGTTGCAGTCACAAGAAAGCATGTCATTAAATTTAATGGCCAAGATGTACGCTACCTGAATGAATTGGAATATATAAATGGTGAAATATGGGCAAATGTTTGGCAGGTATGCCTTTGTATCTTTTGGATTTTATTTTGTGGTTCTTGTGGCATGGGTATTGTGCTTCATTGTTTGAAACTTAGTTGGAACTGGCTTTATAACAAGTTGTCTACCTTTTGGAATGTATGTAATGTTCTGTGCTTTGATGACAGCTTAGCAAAAAAATAAAAGAGCAACTATTTGACTGGCTTTCGGTTTTTTACATTCTAAACAAAAGTTTCTGACAAGGGTTATTATATGAATGCCTCTAGCACAGAAAACTATTTCCTAATGGCCCTTTCATCCAAATATATATATTTATATATATGACCTTTAAGTCATTTCCCTTGCACATGCATGTGGTGTAATGTATCAGTTTATTGTTTTAGAAGTGTATATCTCAAGTGGTCTTCATGAGAATTTATCTGTTTTATTTTCATTTATTTTTAGACCCCATTGCCCGTAATTGCTCAGTGGTTTCCTTTGCACGATGATTTATATATCTGGCGAAGAAAGGATTAGCTGTTGACTTAAATTACTTCCTGATATCTACTTTTTCTCTGTCTAGACTGACTGTATTGCTAGAATTTCACCTAATAATGGTACAATGCTTGGATGGATTCTTCTTCATACTTTAAGGTATATTTTATCTGCTTATTTGGATAGATTCGGCTCAATGTCTTCATCTAGGGTATATTTTAAGTTGTCTGTAATCAAATAATTACAAATTAAATCTATCATGCTGTTTGTTTGTTTTACAGAGAAGGACTAATAGCAGCTGGATATAACGTAAGCACTTAATCAGAAATATCTTTTTAATACTGCTTGTGGCTTGTGGCTTGTGGTACAATGAAAGCTCTATATGATTTCTTGCAAGAAGATAGATACTCTTTAGGCTAGGCATTTTACTTGTTTTAATCTCATCACTAAATAGTTACATCAATTCATCAATGCTTACTGCTTCGCGGCCTAACTCGTGTATTTCAAAATTTCACTATGTTTTAGGGTATTGACGTTTTAAATGGCATTGCTTGGGATAGCAACAGTAATCGCATTTTTGGTAAGTTCTAGATTAGATTTGGCTGACAGAATCATCATTTACTTCCCTGTTTTATACAGCTTATATGTGTGGTCAATCCATTTTGCATGAAAAAACATATATTGAGGGTTTTTTTTTTTTCCCTTCTAGTTACTGGAAAACTCTGGCCAAAGCTTTATGAGATCAAGCTGCATCCATCTAGGAAACACTTTAATAATGGAGACATTGAGCAGCTTTGCTTGCCATGAAAAGCTCTATGCATATACCCCAAAGGTCTGTATGCTGCATAAAAAGGCTCGTAATTAGTAAATGAAAACAGGAATTGAAAATTTTCCATTTCAAAATAGGTCGATTGGAGATTTATAGATACCTGATTCCTAGATTCTTTACTGAATCTAGTAAAATTTGTTTGTACTATTTGGTGGACTTGAGCCCTTGAGAAGAATATATTATCCATGTGTACAACTGTGCAATAAGTAATTACATCATAAACAGGAGTTTCTGATTGTGGTTCACCATTCTTCAGAATCAATTTGGGTTTCTGCACTCTCCTTTACTATTATTATTATATCATGTAACGCACTATGAACACATTGTGGCTCTTCTGGGCAATGCAGGTCTAGTTATATTTTATATCCTGAAATGGCCATATGGTACCCAACTAAATTAAACATAACATGGCATGTCTAAAGTTGCCTCGCGACCGGAAATGCCATGCTCTTGATTTGCCGAAGGCTCTTCTTCCTAGTGTTCATTTTTGGTAGAGAAATGGTGCTAAAGCAAACCATCTACCGGCTTCCTCTGCCTTCTTTCAGATTACTTTCAGGTTGTAAAGAAAAGAAAAAAAAGCTACATATGATTGCATCAAACTGGGAGGGGTGGGGTTGGTTTTTTTAGGAAATAAATGGCGTCCACGGGAAAATGGTGCATGTCATTGTGAAGTGGCATAGAAATACTGGTTCAAGTTGTGGGAAAGCATGGTGATTTTCACTCCATATCCATAAATTGAATGAAACAAGATATTCCCGCTGCCCCCGCCGGTTAGTTGGCACATCAAGATTTTTGAAATATATCCCAAGGCTTCTTGCTAAGCTTAACCTCTTCTGTTTATAACTTGTTCAGCAGCTAAAACCCCGATTTTTAGCCTTCTTTTCCTCTTCTTTGAAGCTCGTTTTCTTTCTTGGTAGCAAGCATATCATAACAGGTGTCATATCTCAAGGAAAAGCTCTCGAAGCATATCTCGTTTTTTGGTCTTCGATTATAGATCTTGATAGTTGCATTCATAATATTATTCATTCTTTTGGCTTGCTTCATCATCTCTCTCTCTGTCATCTGTTATCGTCGTAGAAAAGCCTACAAAACCCCCTTTTGCCTACCAAACCCCATTGCTCGCAAGAATTGTCAAAGCGCTTACAGCACTTCCTCACTCAATAGGAGGCTCCTTCCGCTTAACATTTCGGAGATCGAGATGAACACGACAAAGCCTGAGCTTCATGTAATGTTTTTTGACCAATAGTCTACTCATGCTAGTGTAACAACTCGAGAGTTGTCTGGCTGATTTGGAGCCCTTTGCCAAGTGCTCACCCGGTGTTTCTGAAACCTGGCTCCGTAACCACTTCAGTTTGAAGGAGGTTGAGATTGTCACAAATGGTTTCGCCTTTGAAAATTTAATTGGACATGGAGATTATGGTGTTGTCTACCGTGGCGTATTGTTGGATGATACACGAGTGGCAGTGAAGAGGCTACTGAGTAACAGGTAACTACTGAGTGATTGATTCTAATCATTATTTTCTATGGGTTTATCAATTTAAGTATTGATCATGTGACAATCAGTTGCCACATTAAGGAGTTCATAACAGAGGCAGAAGCAATCGGGCATGTTCGACACAAGAATCTAGTCAAGCTGCTAGGATACTGCGTGGAAGAAGGTTACAGGTATTTTAATTTTCGTGATCCAATAAATTTGAAGTTGTTATCAAGCCCAATTTCGGAATGGTGATGCCTCAAACTCCTGATTTAGTTTTCTGTTTCATTAGGATGCTTGTATATGAATATGTTAATAATAGCAACCTGCACCAGTGGCTTCATGGGTCCCTTGGACAAGCCAATCCTCTTACTTGGACCATACGTATGAACATTATCCATGGAATAGCTAAAGGGTGAGTTTTACATTCAGAACTAGATTTGCCACTTCATTTTATTTATAATGATTATTATTGTGGTTTCCCTCGGTCGGTTGATGTATATGCTCAAACTATATTGATATACTTGATGAGAATTAAGATTATGATTCTGCAGATTGGCCTACCTCCATGAGGATATTTAACCACGGATCATCCATCAAAATGTGAAGACTTGCAACATATTACTTGATCATCAATGGAATCCTAAGATCTCTGATTGTTGCACTTTCTAGGCTGCTCGGTCCAGAGCACGGTCGTGTGGCGATTCGTTCAATGGTCAAGCTAGGGTTAGTTTATTTGAGTTCAACTTGCCTATCCATTTTCATTGAGACCATGCATTCTGAATTGAACTTATAAAATGCGATCCAAGTTACACTTTCTTGTTGATCATGTTATAATTTGCGTGGATCTCTAGATATGCTGCTCAAGAACATGTTTTTACCAGCCCGTTGGATGAAAAGAGTGATGTTTATAGCTTTGGAATACTTATCATGGAAATCGTATCAGGGAGGATGCCTGTTGATCATAACCAACCCGAAGTACCACGCCCTAATCTCGACATATTTGAGCATTATATAAAGCTTGTGACTCTAAATTTGAAAAATGAAATTTCCTATTGCAGATGTACTTGGTAGAGTGGTTAAAGTCCATGGTCGCGAACAAGAAAATTGCACATGTAGTGGATCTTAAGATGCCAGAAGTTCCTTCTATGAAGGAACTCAAACGGATTACCCTGATTGCCCTTCGATGCGTTGATCCAGATTTAGATAACAGGCCGAAAATGGGAGAAGTGATTCATATGCTTGAGCCACGTGACTTGCTGCTCAATGATGTAAGAACAACTTCATCTTCCAGAAGTTGAGATATTACATTCTGTACCTATTGCTGTCTTGTCCTTCTGCCTGCCAATCTATTCAGTTTTCCTCGGTATGTTATAATTCAGGAACATCATATATATGTATATAACATCATGTTCCGGGAACCGCGGAACCGGATGCTTAAGACAAAGATTGGCTTAAGGCTACAAACTTTGGGCCATTTTAATCAATGCGTCAGATTTAAGATCTATTTCAGCTTATGAACATGCTTCAATTCTGAGTTGGAATTTCAATATTTGGTGCTGGCCTGAATATCTTCGGTACTAGGTTTATGTCGCCTTACGTTCATTCTGGGCTCATTTAAACACTCAACATGTCATCCCTCTGAATTTGTGGGTCTTAGGTAGTTTGAAAATTTTTTGAGGTGTCACTTTGGACTTCTTTTTAATCAGATTTTTTTTTTGTGACTATATTAAGCAATAATTATGTTTCTGAGGAAAATGATTTTTGCTTCGGGTATTTATTTATGAGAAAGCTCAAGAGGAAAATAAGGTATATAATGAAAATTTTATACTTTACGCATAATAATTATTAGACCAAATTTTTATTCTAAAAAATAAGAATTTTTTCTTTTTAAGGCTGTTATTTTAGATTGGTAACTTAATTTTTATTTTATATGATATGTATTTATCTATAAATACATCGATGATTTTGAAAATAAAAATATAACAAACATTAGATTAAATAGAAATTATTATTTAAAATTTTTTTAATAAATAATAATATATTATTTTATATTAAAATAATATTTAAATTATCAAGTGAAGACTGCAGAATGCCCTAATTAAAAAGTCCAATGCTCAATTAAATTTGAAATTCACACGTCATTTTTCAAAAACACAACCTAATGTCTGGAACGGGACAATCAAATTCCCTATGTTTATTGAATTTTAAGCGACACTTTTCAAAATAACATGGTAGAAAGTAGTAAAATATCTTAAACTTAATGTTAACTATTCATGGTACTTTTCAAAATGATAACCCACTGGGAAAGCAATCAAACGTCCTACAAGTAAAATAATACTTTTTTTTGTCTTAATTTGTTTGTTTTATATTAAATTTTATGAATTTTTTTTAAAAATTAATTTTAACATTTTTTGTCACGTGATCATTATTTTTTACCCTTAAAATAGATTTACCAAGAGGCGTAACATCAATATTTTTAAACCTCAATGATCTCTCTTCATATTCGATGTAAGATTAAAATATTTTACTTACTAATTTTAAAATGTTTGATATGATATTTTTTCTTATTCAATCTCATGTCGTTTTCGTAAAAAAAATTGATCACTCTACTTATTTTTTCTCAAGATATTTAGCATGATTCAAACAATTCAAAATATGTTCTGATATCACTTATTATGTGATCATTATTTTTTCATCTTAAAATTAATTTATTAAGATGTGCAGCATCGACGTTTTTAAATTTTAATGACTTTTTTTTTAAATATATTAAAATTAAAATTTTATGATTTTTAATATTAAAAAATATAAAAATTAATTTTAAAATATAAAAAATTATATGTTCAAAAAAATTAATATAATTTTAGAATATTTATTAAAAAAACAGAGGAGTAGAAAAAAAATCTAATATTTCACCGGATCATTTTCTCTCGGATAAGAAAACGTGCCACGAATTGATTGGGCAAAAAATAGCTCGACCGTACCACTGAACCGTCCATTTGAATCGAAGCGGACCCTCAAAGAAAAGCGTAGAACTATACCGTGGTCCTAAGGAAATCTCTGGTTCCACAAACCTTTCGCCAGGTGGGCGACTCATCGGCTAAAACGAAAAGCGTGTATCAAGAATACCCAATACGATGATCCCACGTGGCAACCAGAACATATCCGAAAAGGTTCCGATAGGTAGGTAGCGATTACACTAGAGACAACGTGGCACCATAAATAGGGAAAGGAATGAGTCATGATGATTGACGTGGGTCGAAGGAGAGCTTAATGCATTTTTGTGCGCTCAATTATTTTGAAAGACTGTCATTTGATTGGTTGCTCTGCAAAGACGCAAATTCTACGGCGGACATCAGCCTCATATTTTCCCGTCATGCCAAGTGCCAACGTTTGCTCTTCTTACTTCTGGCCACACTTCAACTTCCACTTTCCCATGCTTTGCACTTCCTCTTCACCTCAATTACCAAAATACCTTAGCTCCTTTCTCTACGAGAAGAACTCATTTCTCATGTTTTATTGCAAATTTTGGATTTAATTTAATTTTTTTGGATAAATTGAGTCATTGTTTTTTAATATTTATCAATTTAAAGCTAATTATTAACAAAATGTTATCAAATTTCATCTAATCCATGTCATAATGCCATATAATCAAAGTCGATGAACTTTATTTTGGCACTTACTTAACAAATATACATATTAGCTTTTTATTTGAAGAAAAAATTTAAATGAGAGAGTACTTTGCAATTAAAATAATGAAAAAAAAAAGACAAAATCTAACACTAAGATAATTTTATTAGAAAAATAAAAAATGTGAAGAATACAAATTATTTTATTGGGAGATAACTTAAAAATAAGTTATAAAGTAAAGAGAATATAATTGAAGAATCGGATTACATATTAATCCAAAATTATTTAAATATTCAAAAACTATATTCCATTATTTTTATAATTAAGATAACTTTTTAGGATAGGGTACCTACCATTTTTAGAGTATCCATACCGGACCCGATTATATTCATGATACCCGAATTTTATAATTATCCGGATAATTTTGATTTTTACTACTTGAATCCTATTTATACAATATAAGAAATAATCATTAACTATCTAAATCTACTAAATATTCATTTATTAAGTTAAAATTTGATTTTCAAATTCAAATTTAAAATCAAATTTAGTACATGTTATTACAAAAAATTAAATTAATAAATTAAAGTTAAAATCATAATTACAATACTTAATGAATTAATTTAATTAAATATTATATTAATAAATAATTTATAAATGAAAAATATATAATATTTAAAAATATTATTTATAATTGGGTCTGGATAATATGTATCCTCAAATCATTATCCAAACTTATAACAAATAGTAATTTTACTATTTAAATCTAACTCGAAATCAATTATAAAATAACTTATTTTTATTTAATCGGGTTGAATAATACAAGATACCCGTTACAAATTAACCATTGCTATCTTTATTGGTAAGTCACTTTATTAATAATAGATGACAATAAGTAAAAATAAGTGGTTGATTCAATCGGTTAAAATCGTTTTTTTCGATAAAAAAATTTTGAGTTCGAATATTACTGGTGATCATTTGTTAGGGTTATTTCGAATGCACGACCTACAATCACCTGTCTTAGATTATCAAATATAGCACATCTTATCCTGACTTAAGGGACTGAAAAACCTATTTATCTCAGGATTTATTTTTACCAAATTTTTTATTATTATTATTAATTGATAATGTATAAAAATAATATATTATTAGTATATGTGAAATATTAATTCTTTTTTTATTACCATGTGTAATATAATTAACGAGGGGGAGTCGAGAGTGTTTAAATCCACAAATTCGATGAACTTCCCACACGACAAAATTACAGAAAGTTGTGGTCTTCGTGTATTTAAGTTTTAACCTCGCATTCTCTAAAACCCAAACTCCCCAACCTCAGCATCGACCATCTCTCTTCTTCTGCCTCTTCCTTTTCGGGAGCTTGCTTTAAGGTTTTAAAATTCTACCCGATAATCAATTTAACTTCTTGCAGTTTTTCCATGGCGGCTGGCCTATCCGCAGCCGTAACCCGTAAACCCTTCCGTTCATTTCTATCTTCGCACCCGACGCCGAAGCCAACGCCAGTTTTCCATCCTTTACTTCACCTCCAAAAAACAAACTATGGAGCTCGAAGGAGGACAAACTTTGCTGTTTGTTTTGTGTTGGAGGAACAGAAACAGAGTGCTCCCTTGATCGTAAAACTCGTAGAAGAAGGATCCGAGGATGTTGGAGATCCTCAGATCTTAATACCCGCACGTATGGCGGAGAAGTTGTCTAGAAAGAGATCCGAAAGGTTTACTTATCTTGTTGCAGCTGTCATGTCTAGTTTTGGGATCACTTCCGTGGCTGTTATGGCCGTTTATTATAGGTTTTCTTGGCAAATGGAGGTTTGTTTTCCGCTCTTTCTTCCTTTTTATTTTTTTTATAGCACGGAAAAATTCTGAAATTCGTTGTTTTTTATTTTAAGGGTGGAGAGGTGCCTCTTTCTGAAATGTTTGGTACATTTGCTTTATCAGTTGGTGCCGCTGTAAGTTCATATTTGTTCATCACCATTTTTTTTCTCTATAATCGAATTTGGAGTATGATTTGAATGTTGACTGGATCGTTTATTATTTTCAGGTAGGCATGGAGTTTTGGGCTCGATGGGCTCATCGAGCTCTCTGGCACGATTCTTTATGGCATATGCACGAGGTATTTACTTCCTCTTCGCTCATTTCCCTTCTTTTCATCCCTCTGTAACAGCCCACTCTAAGCAGATGAGATTGAGCTCTCTCGAAAAAGATTGATAAAAATGAATTAGTAATGAACTTCTTTTTCTATTTTTACAGTCTCACCAGCGACCTAGAGATGGTCCGTTCGAGCTAAACGATGTATTCGCCATTATCAACGCCGTCCCAGCTATTGCTCTTCTTTCTTATGGTTTCTTCAACAGAGGCCTTGTACCTGGTCTATGTTTTGGTGCTGTAAGTTTCTCTTTTCCGGTCCTTTTTTTAGTATTATTCTTTTTTTCCTTTCTCTGTTGTTATCTTTATGAATCTTGATTTTCTTCCTTAATTAACGGTTTTCTTTTTTTTTAAAGAATAAATTATAGTTAATCAATGGTTTAATCCTACTTAATTACTTGTGATCACAAACTTTTTTTTTGGCATATTCATACTTAGAAAAGAAAATTATCTTGATACCATCATTAACATTAAAGAATAATAATATTTATAACATTTGAAATATAATATTATGATATGATATAAAAATAATAAAATATAAAATTAAAAAAAATCATGTTTTTTAAGACATCTGTATAGGGTGCAATATAATATTTTTATATGTTATACATATTTAATATAAAATAAATATAATATAAATAAATGAATTATTAGAAAAATTTTAATAATATTAATATTATTTTCTTTTGATTCGGGTTCTGCCCAGGGGCTTGGTATCACGGTGTTTGGAATGGCCTACATGTTCGTCCACGATGGTCTCGTCCATAAGAGATTCCCTGTGGGGCCCATTGCCAAAGTTCCCTACTTCAGGAAGGTTGCTGCGGCGCACCAGGTTTATATTCTCCACACCAAACATCTTTACTATAAAAAATTAGCTTTTTTATTTATCAGTCTTTTTTTTGGGTTATTTTTCTTACAACGGAATCTAACGTCCATGATCTTCTTCGGATTTGATATCTGGGCGTTCAGCTTCATCATTCAGAAAAATTCAACGGTGTTCCATATGGGCTGTTTCTAGGGCCTAAGGTGATGTCTTTAAACATCTTTTTCTATTCTTCCATTTTTGTCTTTGTTTTATTCCTGTGGTTTCCTTCAGATTTTTCTATTGTTTTGTGAATTGAAAATTTGGTGTGTTGTTGTGGAGCAGGAAGTGGAGGAAGTGGGAGGGCTACAAGAATTGGAGAAAGAGATCAATAGGAGAATCAAATCAAGCAAGGGTTCGTGATAATTCTATTCGAAAGGGACGCATCTTTTAGCAATTTTCTGTGTATAGAAACAATACTGTCATTATCATAAATGGAAAATGATTTGGAGTTGATCACTATTGCTTTTCTACCGGTAGAAAGACATGGATTTTTTTTCTTAAGATAAAACTAGGGACAAAGGAGGAGAGAATTACAGACAATGACTTGGAACGTACAAACTTCAAATTTAAAAAAAAAATACGGTTTAAGAATTAGAATGAAAGAAATATGCAGTGTACGGATAATTATGTGGATTTACCGCTGAAAATGAATTCCTCAAAAATCAGCATTGCAATTTGTAACTCAAGCTTTACTTGAGAATAGGTATCCAATGACAAGCTAGTTGTAAAATCTCAGTGACAAAAGATTAATACCAAATATATGTATATATATATTTGTTATGCTACACTAATCCATTACATTTTTATGTCTTTTAACTTAATAATTTGATAAACTAATCCATGAATTTTTTTTAGACAAAACGACAAGATATTATTTATTGATTTAAAGACAGAGTTAAAAAGATAGCAGACTTCACAAGTCTATAAATATAACTATTACATTCGTCAAAATATAACAAGGTGAGAGAAATTCAGGAGCTTGGGTGTAAAGCTCTGTAGTTTTGTTAGTAGCCGCTCTCACTGCAAGAAAGTCTGCTGTTTGATTAGCTTCACAGTAAGCAAAATGCAAGTTGATTTTAGTAAATCCTGTCACAAGCTGCTGGCAGTCATGGATGATCAGCTCCTAGAGTGATGCCAAATCTTGTATCCTGCTAAAGAGTTGAACAGAGCTTAGAGAATCAGTTTCAACAACTAAGTTAGGTAACCCAAGGTCAGCAGTAATATGGATTCCGGTACGATCAGCTATAGTAATTCAGTAATGCTATATTTTTTTAATTTAAAATTGTTAAAATTTAAATATTAATTGTTAAAATTAAGAATCATATACTCTATAGATAAATCACACAATATCAGTTGCTATCTTTTAGAGCTTACATCTTGATATTATTGAAAATAGTGATTCAAATCTCATAAAAGATTTATTTGAAATTAGTTAGATATTATTTGATAGATAAAAAAATTTACAAAAAAAAAAATTCTAAAAGGAAAATAATTTTAATAGGCAAATTTGTATACTTATAAATGGGTAAAGTCTCTATAAGTTTATGTATGACAAAAAAATGTAAGACAGTTGTAGGATTTTATGAGATAAACAAGACTAGTAGAGAATAATATCTTTATAGGTGTGTATGTTGGAGTTAACTGTAAGAAACTGAGAAGATCCACAGAGATATGAATATATATGTTAGAGTGGACTAAAGGAAACTAAGATGGGCAACATAGATATGGGTGCACGAATGTATATGGGTATGTATTTGTTTGGATTGAGAATACTTTATAGGACTAGAGTAGATTGAGATGATCTTATGAGTATTGATTGTTGAGTGAGGTTGATATGATTTGTATGTTTGTAATTCTCTACAACTAATGGATCTTGTTTCTCATTTGTAGACATAAGTTAGTTGGATCGAACTACGTTAAATTATTGTATAGTGTGTAATTGATTAATTATTTGAAATTGTTTTCATTGGCTTAATTGGATGGAGCCTTTTGCTCAATAAATGATATTAGAGCTGTGATGATCCCTAACAAGTAGTATCAGAGCTTGATTCGGGGGAGTTAGGAATAAGCCACAGAGTTTGATACCAAGTGATATCAGACCATGGTTCAAGACATGAAAAAAGACAAGCTTACAGGAGCTCAATTCAAGAAAAAGTTCAAGTTCATGTTTTGATCTATTGATTTGTGTGAAATGTGAAGATACAGATATAATTGTTATGAGACTTCTATTACAAGTTGAGCCAAGCATATCTAGCATAAAAACATATGATTTGATGAAATTTCGATTAAGGTGAAGATTGTTGGGAATAGTGACTCAAATTTTATAAGAGATTTATTTGAAATTGATTAGATATTACTTGATGGATAAATAGATTTACAAAAAGAAGAATTCTAAGAGAAAAAAGATTCTTAATAAGCAAGTTTGTATATTTATAAATATGTGAAGTCTCTATAGGGTTAGGTATATGAAAAATATGTAAGAAAATTATAAGATTTTATGGAATAGACACCTCATAGGACTAGTAAAAATTAATGTCTTTATGGGTGTGTATGATAGAATGAACTAAAAGAGATTGGAAGGATTTATATAAGTATGGGTGTTTATGTTGGAGTGGACTAGAGGAGACTAAGATTGTCCACATAGGTATGGATGTATGAGTGTATATGGGTATATATTTATTTGGGTTGAAAATACTCCATAGAGCTAAAGGAGATTGATAGGGTCTTATGAGTATTAATTATTGAGTGAAATTAATATGATTTATATGTTTGTAATTTTCTATAATTAATGGATCTTGTTTTTCATCCATAGATATAAATTAATTGGATCGAATCACGTTAAATTATTGTCTCTATTATAATTGATTAATTATTTAATTTTGTTTTCGTTGATTTGATTAGATTGTGACTTTTTGCCTAATAGATATATCATCAATTACATCTATATAATTTTATCAATTATTCTTTCTTTAAAAAATTCTTTTATACATAATTAACAAAACATAATTATCGATATATCTCATAGCAATGGCGAATTCTAATATTTTTATTTTGGAGGGATCAAATAATATTATACATAATCTTAATTTTTTCATAAAATGAAACAAATGTATAAAAAATAAAATACATCAAATAAATAATTTTATTTAAAATTTTAAGAAATTCTTTTTAAAAAATATATAAACAAATCAATTGTTAGACAATATATATATATATATATATATTTAAAAAAAACACCATTAAATGAATGAAGTTGTACTATGGTGTTTTCAGAACTTTGGGGGCAAGGCCCCCTCTATCTCTTATTACCATCCTTTCCTGTCTCATAGCGTATTTTAAACTTTTATTAATTAGTTTATGGTGAAATGACACTAATTATAGTTTACATCAATATATATAATTGTTTTAATAAATTTTAAATTTTAATTATACACTTCTAATTATCATATTCTTTTATTATGCTGGATCAAGGTTAATTCCATTAATATTTACGAAAATAACTTATGCAGATGATTTTCTTATAGATGCAAATAACTTGTGCTTATGATTTTTTTTTCTTCTTTAAAAATTAACTCAGTTACTCTTAAATTTCCTTGTTCTTTTATATAATAGCTAGAAGGGCCATGTTAATAGAAATACTCCAAAAGTAAGGGTGATGATTTAATGATTGAAATTACAATTGTCCATGAACAATAAATATATATACCCTGAATTTTACAAAAGGGACACTGAACCAGCCACTCAACATTATTGTTTTGTAGGTTATATGTATGAATTAATGTATAGTAAGTCCATGAAAGTCACTTTCAACCACGTGCAATGTATATATGAGGAAGGTATTACTTAATTAATTACAACACAATTCATGTGAAAGGCATTCGGATTAACTAGCAAGGGTTGTGACCAATTGAAACTTATCAATTAAAGAATAATTCTAAATGAAATTTGTCTACAATATTCAAACCTACTTTAGGAGTTCAAATCTCTATCGGGGCTTAGTTTAGCTATTAATTAATTAAATATTATAGCCTAATTTAGTATTGAAAATAGTTTTCACGTTTAAAAATTATTTTTAATCCAAACACAATGCTAAAAAAATAATTTTTTAATTTAAAAGTTTGGTTTTTCAACTCAAAAAAAAAATTTTTTTTTTAAGAAATGCTTTTGTGGTGAAAAAATACATTTGAGATAAAAATTATTTTATTATCCCTATATTTTTAATATTTATTAGTTTATATATCTTTTATACATTTAAATTACTCATTGCAATTTTTTACAATAATACTAAATATTTAAAATTTTCAGTCACATTTTTTTCATTATACTTTTTAAACATATTTTTTTCAACCTAAAATTTTTTTTAACTGCAATAGTAATATTAAACTAATCTTAAGTTGGCCTAAAAAAGTAGTTTGATGATGTTTAATTTCCCAAATGAAACAAAGTGTCACCATTTTGCTTAAAAAATATAAATCTATCCCAACATTAGTAGTTCGATCAGTAGGGATGAAAAAAAAAAAAAAAAAAATAAATTGATTTGAAATTATAGTATTTAATTTGAATTTATTTTTTTATTTAGTTCAAATTAAGTTTATATATTAAATGTATATATTAAGTTCGAATCGAATTTTGGATAAAAAAAAATATTGAAAAAAATAAATTAAATCGAATTATATATTTTTATTAATTATATATATTTTTAATTTTTATAAAATAAAATTATTATTTTATATTTAAAATTATTTAAATATATTAAAATTTTATATGAAAATAATATATAAAATAAAAAATAAAATTAAAAAAATGGTGAATCGAATAAGTAAAATTCAATTTGAATCATATAAAAAATCATATCAAATTTACATCAAATTTAAAAAATTAATAATAATATGTATTATAAAAAAAATCAATTAAATTATTCAAACCGTTTTCACATATTCTAATCAGGCAAGTTTCGTAAAGATCATCAGTACTTTTTAGTAGCTTTTGAGCGCTCTGAACTAGAAACATTACAAAAGTTTGGGTAGTACTAGTTAAAGCCTAAACTACACATCTGAGGTGAACTGAAAGATATGGGGATTAACTAAGGATAAGCATTGGTTTACACACAGGAAACCTTAAACAAAAAGGTTATAGGAATATGCGGTTTAATTTAAATGATGAATTTGCGCAGGTTTGAGGTTGGATTCGACACTTGTAATTATTTATTTTCCTATATATATATATCTTACTGGGCTTCAATCTCTTCTGTATAAAAAAAAAATTATAACGTATGAGCATTAATGGTGATTAAGGAAGAAGGATGAGCTTGACAAACTCATAATTCCCCTAAAAACTCTATGTTCTTATAGTTTTGAAATCATAGTAATCTAGTTAAATTCTTCCTAAAGTACTATTTCTCCTCCTTTCTCCTAAAAAACTGTACTAAGCCACTTGGGGAATAATTGACTTTTAGCCTGCGCTTCACAAATATGTACAGCTTT